TTTCTTAATGTTTTATTTTGAATTAAAAAGTAAATTGTGCTTGTGTTGAAAACAACCTAAAAATATCGTTACATTCTGTTGTAATAGAATTAGAATTTCAATAATATGTACATAATTATAATATGTAAATACATTTTTGTACATATGTATATGTTCTACACAAAACATGACGCGTAAATATTTTGTTGTTTCCACAACATGTACTTTATCAGTACTTATTTAATTCTATCTTTGGTTTACCTTAACGCATACCTTGACCTCTAATAATAAATATCAAAATATTAAGTCCGTGTAATACATACGCTCATCTATTGTTACACACAAAATATATGGATGTGTGTTGTGTGTATATAAAAAGTAAAATTTATAATATTTTGGTAATTGTTGTTCATATTGTAATAGAAGACCTCGCATTTAATGTAGAAAATACATAAATATTAGAATAAAACTAAGTGTTTTATTTTGTAATAATTTATAATTATAAATTACAAGGATCAAGATTAACATTTATTATGAGAAAACAAGAAATTGTGTTTGGTTTTGGGTAAAATAATTCAGTGGTACACCAAGATTTATTTTATTATTAAATAGAATGTGCTCCTTTATTATAAATTTAGGTGAAAATTTTTTAATTTATATTTTCACTATAATTTGAAAAATTTTTTATTTAAATTATTATTTAAAAATTTATAAAATTTTTGGTTAGTTTATTATTGATTTCTGAATTTTTAAGTACTTGTGTTTTTTTTTGCAAAATTTTAATTTAATAATGGAGATTCGCAATGACAAAACTAATTAAACCTATAATTTGAAATGAAAAAATCTCATTATAGCATAAAATGCATGTACTTTCTAATTTAGATTATTATTTTAGGTATTTTGCAGTGTTATTTTTTTTTTTTTTGATAAAATTTAGTTATACGATAATGAAAAAAACATAATATGCATGAACTAATGAATGAATTACGTATTCATATATTCAAATTTTATAGTTGATTAATTTTAAATCAGTTAAAATATCCAGAAAAATATTGTGTTGAGGTTGCCATTTATTGAAGTGGATCTAATAACAGCACTTTAAAAAAAACACTAATTTGGGTTTCATTTTTGGTTTAATTTTTTAATTTAATATTAATTGTATGTTACCAATGTACGTTTACGATTGTATGTTTACGATTATTTTGCATAGGATGTAGAAACTCTTAAATTTTTCAAAACTAATAAAATTTTTCTGGTGTTGAAAATCAATAATATTCTTCTTTTGAATAATTTTCAGTTTAGTTTTTGTGGGTTCTATGTTCATTACACAGCACATCGAATTTTATTAAAGTGCATGTGATTTAGCAGTGAAATTTTGGTAAATGCAATGTCAAACTATTCAATGAACCCTAATTTTATTCATAGGTTATTTTCAAAAGTAAAATATTTTTTAATTATTTATATATTTCGTTTTTGTACAACAAGTTTTCTTTGGGTGTATTCATAATGGAGCAAGTAAAAACTTTATTGTTTCGAAAATTATATTCTTTCACATATACTAATTGAGTTCATGGAATGTTTTAGTTATACTTTTAATCTGATAATATGGCTTTTTATAGAATAAATATGGTGAAATTATATAATCGATATTTCAAAATGGATGAGTGCGAGAATTCCATTATATTGGTTATGTCTATACTTCTATGGATGAAATTTATTAGGAGTCTGATCAGGTGATTTTGAATGAAAAATACCGTATAAAGTCCATAGATTTTACTTACTTTTTTTATTCGGAATTTTCCATTTTTAATTCATTAACATTAGTACGACCTGTTTCGGTTGATAATTTCGGTATTTTGAAAAGTTTTAGTCACTAGTAGGAAACAATCTTAAATGGTTATAAAATATTAAACGTTCTGAATTAACAATTGCAAAATAAAAGAAGTTTTTTTGACAAATTTTTTTTACTAAGCCATATATGTATGTTATTAATTCGATCATTAACTGCGCCTAAAGATTTTTAAATTTTCTACATGCACAAACCCCTGCAATATAAAATATTCCTTTTTATTTTCTTGAAAGGGTTTTTGCTTTTCTTGTCTAGCTATTCCTAAATTTCAAAGAATCATTTACGGCAACTTTTACATTGACTTAGACCTAATACGAAGTTAGAATTTTCTAATATAATTTTAATAAAATTATTCATTATTTAAATTAAAATTTTTTCCAAGTGAAACATTAGTTTTCTAATTTATTTTTCTCTTACGCGATAAAAATTGTAATTGCATTGAAATTTCTAACACAACATTTATTTATTTTGCTTAGAAAAAACCGACGCTTTTCACAAAGAAATTGATTTCAGTGAAAATATGTGTAAACTAGATGTAATAAGAAATATGTAAAAATAGATTGACTATAGTGAAACATACAAACATATTTTTATATTTATATTAGAAACGTGGAATAATTTTTTTAGAATTCCAAGTTTTCCTGTAAACCGACTAAGAATTCGAAGGAGATGTGTTGATATTTTCACATTGTTGTTACAATTTTTTTTTTATATTTTTTAAATTTTAATTTGTATAGTAAGAAGTTGAATGCCAAAGTCTTTAAGTTTAGGTGATATTGAAAAAAAATTGAAAGAAAATATGAAAAAGAAAATGCAAAACAATTTGTACTTTTACGAACTGTAATTATGTGAATTGTGTGTTTTGAGTGGGTGTTACGAAATTTCCATTTTGTTTGAAACTTTTGACTGCGGCAATTTCTATAATATCAATATGTATTCATATATTGTAATATATACGAGTAATATATTATTATATGTAAATATTTTTTTTTGGTACATCATGTCAAATTTAAAATTGATTTTTGAATATAAAAGTCAGAAGTTAATTTTCGTTTATTATATGCAGGCGCGTTCCTAAAAAGTGCGCCCCCCCTTTAACCGTTTCACCTATTTTATTGCTGTGAACAAAATTTAATAGGCATTGCACATTGTGCATCATAAAGCACTTCCTTGTAACCTTATTATGCTGACTGCAGAACTAATTATAGAATTAAAGTCTGGAACTAAACTTTCAATTTTTTGTTTTATAAATTCAAAACAAGGTAGTTTATTTAACTGTATGTATTTTTATGAAGTTATGATCAGATTTATTTCAATCATTTAAACTTGATTTTTGATTTTAACAACCAAAAAAATTTACTTTTTGACGTAAGTGAAACTTATTGTAAAAGGTTCTATGAAAATTATATCAAATGAACTTTTTCACAGCTTATTTGAATATGAAAAAAAGTAAAAATTTATTTTTATTTTTATTCGTAATTTTAAATTTACGAATAAAATTTGGCATTCTATTTCACAAATCACCTGAGAAATGAAGCAGCGTATAAAAAAAGTTTCGACTTGCATTCAAAAATTTAAAGAAAATCAAAGTTTCGTTCTAAAATTTGTGACTTGAAAACTAAGCTTTTTATGTACATTGGTACAAGCTTTTATACTGTTCATCATATTTTTTAGATTTCATTAAAATAAATGCATTTACTGGTATTTATAGGCTTGTGGTTTTGAAATTTCAGAATGTCGTGCTGCTTAACTGTTTTAATTTTTGAGATAAATGTGTGAAACAAATTATGCGCCATTTTATTTTACTCTTATTTTTTGGATGACTTACACTACATCAATTCAACATAAAAATTCTTAACATTCGCTTGATTATAAAACAACATTTTTTCAATTCAATACAAATTCGTAAAAAAAATTTCGTAAAAAAAATTTAATATTGGGACTTGTTACTAACAAGTTGTTAGATATAAAGACATTAATTTAAGAATATTGCTCTCATTCTCTTTTTAGCACTTTTCCAAAAATTTTTTGAAAAAAAGTGCTTATTAGTTTCACTCTGTCCGTCCGTCCGTCCGTCCGTCCGTCCGTCCGTCCGTCCGTCCGTCCGTCCGTCCGTCCGTCCGTCCGTGTGTCTGTTTACAAAACTTCTACATTCTTAAAGATCGAAAGCTGAAATTTAATACGTACATAGATCTTTACTAGATACTTATTTTCGTAGAACAAAATTTTTACCTATCTCCCCCCCCTATAGAAGTTATACCCCCCTAAAGCACTAAAAATGGCCTATTTTAACTATTTATTGCAATGAAACCATAAGCATTTTTGAAATTTTTCAAACGCAGAAAGGCAGTGGCTTGCTTCCCCTACCGCGGTATACTATAGCTAAACTTTAGAAAAACAAAATGGCCGTCCAAATTTACCGTTATCTGCAGTCCTTTTTTTCCAAATTTTTGATGTCGTTTTTCTTCTAGACCCCAGCCTGTAGAAGCTTGAAATTTTAAGAGCTTTTAGACATTAACAAGTAGTTCATTTCGTTAGAAGAAAATTTTTTTCTATCTCCACCCCCTCTCAAGTTATGGCCTCTTGAAATTTGTAAAATTTGCATTTTTGACACCTTATATTTTTGAAACCGCAAGCTTTTTCAAATTTCTATAAACGCAAAAAGTTAACGGTAAATTCCATGACACTAAAAAATATAATTATTTTTCTTAACTCACACAATTAACCCTTAAAATCGAGCATTATGTTAACCCCTGTTTATATTAATTTTTGCTTTATTTTAAAGACTGCATAAATGGTTCATCCTAAATATATGCAATCCTAGAAATAGTTTCGTTTATAAATGAAAATAAATTTTAATAGTGTGGTGGATATACATAGACTATTTTTAAAAGCAGTATTTTCACTTGTTGAAGGGAAAAGTGCTACAATACAAACCATTGGTTTGACCCAACTTTATTCTAATTTCTTTCTATTCTCATTCTTAATTTTTGTTTTTCTTTTTTGTTCTTGTTGTTTACTAATGCAATAGAAAAAGTAATACATTATAATAATGTGTTTGTTTGTTTGGTGAGTGGGCGACAACTAAGCATAAATAAAGAGCCTTATTCTAGTTGTCGAAGTAGAGCGACAATTGTCGTCACGACTTGAATTTGGTATTCTAAATGGCGATTACAGTGACACGTGTCGTGGAATAGCGGGAAAATGTGTTTCAGGTATATTCCAGTTGTCGTTGTAGAGCGACAAATGTCGTAGTGAAACGACGTTTTTTGTCGAAATGTATTTAACAAGTGACAAGCGAGATGGATACACCAAAAATGTAAGTTTAAACAAAACAATTTAATAAAAATATAATAAAAATATAAAAAATAATAAATTTTGTAATTTAATACATAAATTAAACCATATAATATATTATTTAATTTTTATTTTTAGCGTAAAAGTAACAACAAGGAAGCAATTTGAAGAATTGGGGAATTTTATGACGGAGAACGCCTTTATTGCGAAAGGCCTTAAATTTGCTGAGAATAGCTGCATAAGCAAATGCGAGTTTGATGCAAAATGGAACCAGCTAACAGAAAAGCTTAATAGCTTGGGTCCGCCCATTAGAAGTACTACAGGATGGCAGAAGGTAATTTTAACTTAAGTTTCATTTAAAATTTAATTAATTTATGTAAATTTCAGGTTTGGTGTGACTACAAATTGAAGTTAAAAAAAAAACTGGCGCACAACAAAAAGGAATTAAATTCAACTGGCGGTGGTTTATTTAAATTAGCGCAACTAACTGCCATGGATGAAGGAATCATCAATTTACTGTCTTTACAGAAAACAGTTCCACATGACGCCGTAGTGTTTGGCATTGACGAAAACTCAAATTTTGCTCCCAAAGAAAGGAATTTAATAGATACGCCAGTAAATATACATGAAGTTGAAGAACAAGAACAAGACCAACAACAACAGTCAACAAGTACTCAACAACCATCAACTTCAAAAAGACGCCGCCAAGAATCCTATAAAGAAGATTTATTGGTTTCACAAACCGAAATGTTAAGTAAAATATGTGATTCAATGGTTCAAATAAATAAATATGCTAAAAGAATGTCTGATGCAATGGAAAAAAAGCTGAAAATATATGAACGCATGCAAGCGAAAAAGGAGGCTGCCATAGAATTAAAAATGGAAATTATGGAATTAAAAAAACAAGCTATTTCCTTGCAAATTTCTAAAATGTGATTTTTAATGCTGTGACAATAATATGTGTGATAAACTTTAAAGTAAATGTATTCACTATAAGTGATATTAATTAAGTTAACAAATGCAAGTACAAAAAAAAGTCTGTTATGTTAATAATTTAATAATACTATGTATTTATGTTACTGCTAATAAAAACTTTATTTATAAATTAAAAATGGAGTTCATAATATTTGTTCTTATTAAAGAGGCATCTTCTTCATCCTGCTCTAAATCTTCATCGTTTTCATCATTTTCATCTTCTATTTCCACAGGTTCATCTTGCACGTTATATTTGATTTTTAAGTTGTGCAAAGCACAGCACACGTTCACAATTTGTGTGGCTTTCTCTGGTGTATAATGAAGCTCCCGAGCGTTCAACAGGCAGCGGAATGTATTTTTGAGAACTCCATTAGTTCTCTCAATTATATTTCGTACCTTGGAATGAAGCTCATTAAATCTTCCTTTTTGACTGCTGTCACCTCTGTTTATATATGTTCTGAACGGCGTGATCAAGTATGGTTTAAGTGGGTACCCTGCGTCCCCTAAAAAACAATTTTTGTTTATGAAATTAACATAAAAGTAAAAAAAATCAAATTTTTACCTAAAATCCAGGTATTTCGTGTACCGTTGATATTTTCTCTTGAAAGTATTGCATTTAACCTGCTGTAATTCCAAATAAAAGAATCATGAGATGATCCCGGATTATTAGCATCAACATACCTGATGCGCATTTTATGATCGCAAACCTTTAAGTCACATTATATTAAAATATTTACAAATATTTAACAAGCAATGTTATACGTACCAACATAACGTTTAAGCTATGATAACCCTTCCGGTTATAATATAAATGCTGATGATTTTTTGACGGAGTTATAATTCTAACGTGTGTTCCGTCTACACAGCCGATCACTCCAGGAAACCCAAATTTTTCGTAGAATGCTAATTTAATCTCATTTCTTTCATTCTCTTCTGGAAACTTTATCAAACTGCTGCAAATTTCAGCTTCTAAAGTTGCTAAAACTTCTTTTAATATTTTAGAGAACGTAGGCTGCGCTAAACCTGTATATAAATCGTTAGCAACACCTTTTTGATAGCTGCCCTCAGATAGGAAGCGTAAAACAGCTCCTAATTTAATTATAGGTGAGACTCCAAAACACCTTTTAGGGGTACTTGTTTTTCCCTCAAATATATTTAGTAAATATAGAAAGGCCTCCTTTGAAAGTCTGTAATAGCTTATAAATCTGTGAATAAAATAAAATGTTTGTAACTAATGTATTTGAAAAAATTATTATCTTACACTCCATTTGGCAAATCCAATGGATTAGAGTTGTCCCTAATCTTAAATCTTTTGATCCTTAATTGTTGTTTTTTTTCGATTTCATCACTCTCGGAATCTGATGAATCCGTAAACCATAATGCAAATGACGACATTTTTTATTTCCCTCTTATTTAAAAAAATAAATATATACACCGAATTTTTTTTTTTAGTTTGAACTTTACTCGCCAAAATTTCTTTTTAAAATGTATCAATTTCACTTGAAACGTTTCATTTTCGTTTATTTCTCGCAGTCACGTCACTCGACAACTAGAATACCACATTTCAAGTGACGTGACAGCGACAACGACAAATGTCACGTAAGTGACGCGACAACTAGAATAAGGCTCAAAATTTTGCATATATGTATGAAACAATTTAAAAATATAATGTGTACGAGAGCCAGGACGATCACGCATAATAAAAATTTTGCTGTAATATAATTATATGTGTACGAGCGAGTGTTGATAGGGAGCAATCTCAGCAAAATAAAAATCTTGCTTTATGAGATAATAAATTATATGTGTACGCATGAGTGTTGATCTTATTCATATTAAACAATATTAATTATGTGTGCTTGTGTATTTTTGAATATTTTTATTTTTTGCGTAACTTACTTCTACTCGTATGTATATTATATGAGACGATTTTTTTCGGAATTTTTGTTTTTTTTTCTATTTTATTATTGTTTTTTTTTTTATTTTAATTTTCTTAATAAAAAATGAATAAACTTCAGAAAAATATCAATCACTGATTTCATTGGGTCAAAAATAAAAGATTTTTTTTTCAAGGTAATTATTGATTTTAAAAGATAATTATTAAGATGATTTTACAAACGGAATGAAATTATCAGAGCACAAACACACTTTAAATTTATAAAAGTGATTAGAACTGGTTAAAGACGTTCAATAAAATTAATAAGTTGTGATATTCTTTGATATAAGGAGCGAAATAATAAAATATTTGATGAAAAGGGAATTTTCTTATAAGGAATATTAGTGAAAAACGACCGGTAAATGAAGAAAAAACTCATGGCTTAGTTTTTTCTCTAGTTCTGTGGTTGACTTAATACTTCTTTACACTTATTAGCATAATTTCTATTGTGAAATTAATTAAATCCTATGTTTAAAGTTTCAGTCATCAGTTGCCTGATGATGACAGAGTACATAAGAACATGTTTGGAATACAAAATATTGCAATTTATAACCATCAAATTGAATATATATGTATGCATAACTAAATTTCCTGAATAGTAGAAATTTAAAATGAAAAATAAGTTATTCTTTGTAAAAAGTTCCTTTTCATTCTAATAAGTTTTTCTTCCACCTGTATAGTGTTCTAACTTTAATTTAAAATTTGCTTAATTTGAATGTACGGTTCAAGTGATATTTCCTAATTTGCAAGTTACTTTTGATTTTTTTCATATTGACTAAATATACAAAATACTGAAAAAGCCCAATCATATGTGCGTTTTAAAATTAAAAGGATGGAGGGAGGAATTAACATTTTTCAATTTTATATGTACATATGAAAGTTAAAATAAATTATGTAAATTATTTTATTCGTTTTGGTTTCTATTTTGAATATGAAGGTGAAAAAAACACAGTAGGAACATTATTGTGAAAAAAACCAAAAGGAAATTCACACATTACGAATCGTTTTTCACATTTAAATGCATTCTTAACAATCAAATTATTCAAATGTGTGAACTTTTATTTCCATATGATAAATCCTTTGACAATCAAGCAAGAAGAAGTGAATTATTTTTTTTGTTATTTATACATTTTTTTTTCAAATTATGGAAATCAGGCAACATCATGAAGAATTTCGCATATATATATTTTGCAGTAATATTTTTAAAGAAAATTTTAAATATTTAGATTTGTGAAATTTATGAAAGTAAGATACAAGTAGGACTGTTCATTTGCGAATTTCGTTTCATACTTATCCCAGAGCTAAAAGATATATAAATGATACGCGATATAGTGCCTAAACGGAAACGAAAGAAGCATAAAATTAACTTTTTGCCTTTTTTTCCTCTTCTTGCGAATCTATTTCGAATACATGTGGTCTTTGAATATTGGTGGGTTATTGTCCAACACTAGAGACGCTATCGGTTGAGAAAAACCTACAAGAAAGAGATTTCCTACCTTGGTTCGGTAGCTTTCTTCAACACAACCTTGACAAGCAATCTAATTCTAAAATAATTGGAATGGAATGATGTTGCTTTATATGTATATAGTTCAATGTTATTCAGAAATTTTAAAAGCACTGGTTTAAAAAGTTATTTAAAAAATAATTTTTTCGCTGAAAATTTGACCCAAATGCATCCGTTCTTGTATCCTTTTTTGATCTATCAGCGTTTCACCTCAAGGGGTGTGATCATACTGAATAACCTGAGGTGTCACTATGTAATTCGGTTTTCGTGAAAGGATTTCGCATTAGCAGAAACATCCTTAAAAACACAACAGTCTAGATAAAACTATCCGGACTATCTTCTCGTCTTCAATAAAAATGATGTCAGTCTGAAAGACTTGGGCACCATTCCTCTTCTTACATTAGGGAGCCCCGCGAGCCACCCGTCAGGATCCTGGGATGTACCCGAAAGCCAAGCTGCTTCTAAATATTGTCAATAAGAAAGCATAATTTGCTGCAGGAGTGCTGTCGAAATCCATTTACTCCCGGCGCCTTGAAGAGCAGGAAGGTACGAACAACCCGTCTCATTCTTTTGTCCGTAAATAATGTAGCCTTCTGCCAATCCTCGCGAAATTGGAGGTCACTACACTACGTATATCTAAATACACAATTATATTTGATAAAAGTTTAATATTTAGTTAGTTTCGCAAATACTACAGTTATTAAACGGTAACGGTAAATACTGAAATATTTAAATATTAATTATAAAGAATTTATTAATGAGAAAGTTTTTCTTTCTCTTTTCATTCTTTTTTCAGCTGAATACGGAATAGAACGCTGCATTAAAGTCGTACACCTATGTTTTATCTTTATTAAATTGAACTGATTTCATGTCAATTGTGCAGTATATGACTTCATTATGAGGAGAATTGTAAGCACTTTCATAGGTAAGTAATAAAACAAAGTTGGAAAATTAAAACCAAATAGTCTTCTTTAAATTAAAACGAAAATAGATGGAGTTGATCTTGTCGCGTGTATGACCCTAGAAAGTTAAAAATTTCGATTGCGTATATTTTTAAATAGATAAAATAAAATTAAAAAATTGTTCTTCTAATAGAAAACACATAAAAGTGTACGCTTTTAAATATGTAACAGAAAATTAAAAAAAATCGTTAAATTTATAACAAAAATCTGATATGGTTAGCTTATAACTGACCGCTATATTATATTTTCTAGTTTTTTGAAAGTGAACAGCAGATTATGAAAATGCGTTTTAAACACTTCTTTACAATTTTAAGCACGTTAGTAAACTTTTGCTTAACATATTTTGAAAATATTTTGAAATTTGACTCTTTGTAGGATTTCGGGTTTGTGCCGGCTCTGAAAATTTCCTGAAAAGTTTCGACCCACGAAACCCCTAAAATCAGTTAGTTTGGGTAACAACCAAAACTATAATATCAAATTTCAAAAATTCCATGAATCTGTCCCATAGATATGATAAAAATGTAAAATTGGAGGTTCTGATCTTTTCGGTTTATAGGTTCATTTTTTCAACATCTCAAATTTAAATTTTAAGGAAATTGGTTGACTATTTCTCTTTATATACGCAAAAATGTAAAATTGGTTCGCAACAACGTCTAGCTTCCGAGGTTTGATATATCCCAGAAGTTGATTAATCCGTGCCATAGCTAAAATAAATTCATATATAAAATTTAATCAAAATCGGTTCAGCCGATCTTGAGATACACACGTGCGCACACAGACAGACCGACCAACCGACAGACCGATATCTCTCTAAAAATAGTTTATTTACGCTTCCCTACTATGAAGAAGTGCGTTTCCACCGAGAATTCCATATGCAAAATTTTTTTCCCATCATCTAACTATTGTATTACTTACTTAACCTATTGTATGCAATGCGGTCGGCAAAAATAAGTGGTCACTTAAAAATTAATTAATTTTTATGAAGCACTATGTATATATTGCTGCTCAAAAAAAGGAACTGCTCCATTTTTTGGATTTGATGGCTGGATTTGTCGATTTGCTAATGTTTGACCAGCTTTGGAAAATATTCCTTCGTAAGACACAGATGTTGCTAGTACAATCTCCTTCTTGCTAATTGAAACAAGTTTGGGTATGAATTTATCTTTTCATTTCACCATACCAAAACGTCCATATTTCTGTCTAGAATAGGTTCAAGTAAATACTGGTTAATTTCAATCAAACCACCTTTCGCTTCTTGCAATTTAGCATTTGATCAAGTTCTTTCTAAAAGTAAATTGATGGTTGTTAAGGTAATTGAAGTACTAAGCTGTGAAGGTGGTATTAAATTGTAAATGCCAATTTCTTGAACCTTAAATCGAAAAGACATGCGTGATAATAAAGGTGTGGTGATAGCACCACACTTTTATTATGACCAAAAGTATACTTTTTTAGCACTTTTCCAAAAAATGTTTGAAAAAAAGGGCTTGTTAGTTTCACTCCATTCGTCCTTCCGACTGTCCGCCTGTCCGTCCGTCCGTCTGTCCGTCCGTGGAAATGTTTGCAGAATTTCTACACTCTTGAAGATAAAAGCTAAAAGCAGAAATTTTATATACAGGGTGATGCAGAAAGGTGTACAACATCATACACCATTGATTAGAGGGGCGAAAATGGATAAAACTTTTGTTCTGGACTAGGTGCGAAATCTCAAGGGTTTCCCAGGTAGAGCAATTCTAACGAATTTTCACGAAATTTTTTTATTTAGAATTTTGTAAATTGAAATTTTTCTTAATACTATTTATTTTATACTTAATTTAATTTCGTGTAGATTTTATTTTAAATTTAACCTTTTTTTATTTTTATTAATCCACTTGATTTAGATTAAAAATTTTTATGTTTCTTTCTTTTCTTATTTTTTTTTTTCACTTATTTATTTAATCTTAAATGTATGTGTAAGCGCGATGACGTTCCGGAAAAGAAGAACAAGCATGGCTTAAAATTCTTCTAATTACAATTAAAACAAGTAAAAACGTTTCAGTCGGTATAAACCGATTGAATTATACCCTGCACCTTTCGTTGTTGTATAGCAATTACTCCAACCTGTGAAACCATTCTATAGAAATTTCACGGATATGTCTGATTTATAACTGGACACACAACTGCCAAGTTTCATGAATCTGACTTTATTTTTCCAAATATTTAAACTTTTGGACTTGTATGGGAGCTACTCGTAGCTGAAGAGCAATTCAACCAAAACTTCAGAAATATATCTGACCTATAACTCGACACACAACCGCCAAAGTTTCATGAATCTGACTATATTATTTTTCCAAATATTTAAAATAAGCTTTTGAAGTTGTATGGCAAGTACCCGAACCTGTCAAGCAATTCTATCAAAACTTCAGAAATATGTCTGACCTATAATTGGACACACGACTGTCAAAGCTCATGAATCTGACTTTATTATTTTTCCAAATATTTAAAATAAGCTTTTGGAGTTGTATGGCAGGTACCCGAACTTGTCAAGCAATTCCATCAAAACTTCAGAAATATGTCTGACCTATAATTGGACACACGACTGCCAAAGCTCATGAATCTGACTTTATTATTTTTCCAAATATTTAAAATAAGCTTTTAGACTTGTATGGGAGCTACTTGAACCTGTCAAGCAATTCCACTAAAACTTCAGAAATATATCTGGCCTATAACTCGACACACAACTGCAAAGTTTCATGAATCTGACTTTATTATTTTTGAAAATATTTAAAATTAGCTTCTGGAGTTGTATGGCAGGTACCCGAACCTGTCAATCAATTCCTCTAAAACTTCAGAAATATATTTGACCTATAATTGGACACATGACTGCAAAATTTCATGAATCTGACTTTATTATTTTTCCGAATATAAAAAATTTGCTGTTGGAATTGTATGGCAGCCACCCGAACCGGTGCAGCTATCCCATTATAATTTTTAGAGCATGTGTAGAATATAATTGGACACATGTATACAAAATTTTATATTTATAGCTTTATTAGTTTTTGAAATATTTAAAATAAACTCTTTGAGTTGTATGGCAGCTACCCGAATCCGTTGTCCGAATTAGTCCAATAACAATAGGGCTCGTCCTTGACACAAAAGAAAAAAACTTGTGAAAGTTTGGTGTCGATACCATTATTCGTTTTTGAGTTATCGCGCGATCGACGGACGGACGGACGGACGGGCAGACGGACATGTCTAAATCGACGCAGAATTTTACGCTGAGCAAGAATATATATATATGTCCATACCGCAGATGACTCCTTCAAGTAGTTACAAACTCCATACCAAAGTTAATATACCCTTCACGAAGTGCAGGGTATAAAAACCGGTGTGGTGAGTATATTGAAAATGTCAATCAACTTTATGATTGACCTACATATAGGAAATTTTAAATAGTTTTTAAGATTTATACCAGTGCTTCAACATTTTATCAGTGGCGTAACCACAACAAATCTAAGAAGTTACTTTTATTTTCTTGTGTTGAAGCCTTTTTTCCATCTTCAGTGTATAATAAGGTATTTTTATAATAAATGAGACCAAATTCCTCATTGTACCTACAACATTTAACTTGCTTCCACACAAAATTTTCACTCCTTTCGTTCTTCTTTCTTCAAATATTTTTATATATACCAACTTAATTGTGTTAATCTTAAATCAAGAAACTATTGTACGAGTATTAAATTTTATTATCCTGTTGTATGTAAATATCTTTATTAATTTTCAAATTACGTTTAAAATGAATGAATTTCAACAATTGTTTTCGAATGTTATATTTTTTTAATTGCATCTACGGGTATAATAAACTAATTCTATCTTTATATTTGAAGAATTTTTGAGAATCGTTAATTTTTAAGTTAATATCTGAGTTAAAAATTATTTCCGTCCGTCCGTCCGTCCGATCGCACGATAACTCAAAAACGAATAATGCAATCGACACCAAACTTTCACAAGTTGCTTCTTTTGTGCCAAGGACGAACCCTATTGTTATTGGACCAATTCGGACAACGGGTTCGGATAGCTGCCATACAACTCAAAGAGTTTATTTTAATTATTTCAAAAACTAATAAAGGTACAAATATAAAATTTTGTATACATGTGTCCAATTATATTCTACATATGCTCTAAAAATTCTAATGAGATAGCTGCACCGGTTCGGGTGGCTGCCATACAACTCCAAAAGCAAATTTTTTATAATCGGCAAAATAATAAAGTCAGATTCATGAAACTTGGCAGTCGTGTGTCCAATTATAGGTCAAAGATATTTCTGAAGTTTTGGTGAAATTGCTTGACAGGTTCGAGTGGCTCCCATACAAGTCCAAAAGCTTATTTTAAATATTTGGAAAAATAACGAAGTTAGATTCATGAAACTTGGCAGTTGTGTGTCCAATTATAGATCAGATATACCTGTGCAGTTTTAGTGGAATTGCTTGACAGGTTCGGGTACCTGCCATACAACTCCAAAAGCTAATTTTAAATATTTGGAAAAATAATAAAGTCAAATTCATGAAACTTGGCAGTTGTGTGTCCAATTATAGATCAGATATATTTGCGAAGTTTTAGTGGAATTGCTTGGCAGGTTCGGGTACCTGCCATACAACTCCAAAAGCTAATTTTAAATATTTGGAAAAATAATAAAGCCAGATTCATAAAACTTGGCAGTTGTGTGTCCAATTATAGGTCAAAGATATTTCTGAAGTTTTGGTGAAATTGCTTGACAGGTTTGAGTGGCTCCCATACAAGTCCATAAGCTTATTTTAAATATTTGGAAAAGTAATAAAGTTAGATTCATGAAACTTGGCAGTTGTGTGTCCAATTATAGATCAGATATATTAGCGAAGTTTTAGTGGAATTGCTTGGCAGGTTTGGGTACCTGCCATACAACTCCAAAAGCTAATTTTAAATATTTGAAAAAAAAATAAAGTCAGATTCATGAAACTTGGTAGTTGTGTGTTCAGTTATAGGTCAGACATATCCGTGAAGTTTCTATAGAATGGTTTCACAGGTTTGAGTAATTGCTATACAACAATGAAAGGTGCAGGGTATAATTCAATCGGTTCATACCGACTGAAACGTTTTTACTTGTTTAAATATTAAACTGCAATAAATTTTATATAATATTATCTAATAAAATATTGTTAATCAATGCTATCACAATAAATATAAATAAATTTCTAAGAATTTCTGAAATATGACCCTAAATTCACATACTATATGAACTATAACGTAGAAAAAATATTTTAAGTGCCTTCTTAGGTAGACATCTTAGGTAGACTTAAGATGACTTACCTTTTGGACTAGTGGTATATTTTAAAAGTTTTTACAAGTGAATTTTATCTTGTGTTGACTTAAGAAAGTAAAATGTCACAGCTTTGCCAAAGGAATAACATCTTTAAATTGCATAGGATTATAGGCCATTTTAATATAATTAAAAAAATATCTAAAAATTCAAAATATTCAAAAAAATGTTAAGTTTTTGAAAAAAATTGCTCATGGATTCGAATATTTTGCATTGTGCAGAATTGAGAAATATAAATTTAAGATGATTTTACCGTGTCCATAAAATGGAAACGGAGGAGTATAGACGAAACCAGATCAATATATAGATCTGAAAGTCAACTCGTTTTCGATTTCCCAAACTCGTTTTTGAGGTTTATGAGGTATTTTGACAGATGTTCGGATAGATAGACGAACGGACATAACTAAATCGGCATAGAACTTAACTCTATCAAAAACAACATTTACATGTATGTCTATAATCGCGACGTTTATTTCTTAACATTGCAAACGGCGTGATAACTTTAAAACCCATTTCGAATATTCATTAGTACTGGTTTAATGATATTTCAATATGATAAACTGTTTATAATATAAATTTTTTGTTCCAGCATTTTCATTCCTGATTATACTGCCCTTTTCAACTTTTGGTGATGATTGGTCAGTTAATTGTCCTTCAAACTGTACATGCAAATGGGCTAATGGCAAAAAATCTGCAATATGTAACTCAATGGAATTTACTTCAATACCTACACCACTTAGCACCGAAATACAGGTTTTAGATCTTAGTGATAATCAAATAGCGTACTTAAGCTGTGAAGAATTCATCAAATTAGAGCTTTTAAATTTGCAGCGAATATACCTCAAAAAATCCAACATACAATATATTCACCGAGAAGCATTTAAAGATTTAAAAATTTTAGTTGAAGTAGACTTAAGTGACAATAAAATCGAAATGTTGGAAAAAGAAACTTTTACTGGCAATGACCGATTAAGAATACTATATTTAAGTGGTAATCCAATAAAAAAATTAGTTGCATATCAATTTCCAATATTGCCACAATTGAGGACTTTAGATTTAAATGATTGTTTAATAAATCAAATTGATCCTTTGTCGTTTGCAAATTTAAAACTGCTTGAGTCATTGTATTTGAAGAATAACTTACTTGAAAATTTATCTGAACGGGTATTCAAACATATGAATAATCTGAAAACTTTAACTTTAGATGAAAATCCTTGGCAGTGTAATTGTAATTTACGTAATTTTCGAAACTGGTACATAAGGAGTAATTTAAATAGCATTAGTTTAACATGTGAGGGACCATATCCACATAAATCGAAACATTGGGAAAATATTGACGGCAAATATTTTGGTTGTCAACCAAAAGTGGAAATATTTAGAAATTATGATGTGCGATACATCGATACAGGAACGAATACAACTTTTAGTTGCTTAGTAAACGGTGATCCATTACCAGAAGTAGCATGGGAGTTTAATGGGAAAGCTGTCAACAATGATAATACTGCCACTAACCAATTAATATTGTCTAATAATAAATTTTGGAGTAATTTAACAATATTTAATGTAACCAGTCTAGATGGTGGTACTTATACATGCTCAGCACAAAATATAATCGGAACTTCTAGCCAAAACATTAGTTTATATTTAACAGAAATTGTACAACATGTTCTTGTTAAGACTCCTCAAACTTTTTGGTACTTTGGTCTTATAATGGGAATTTTTGGTACAATATTTTTATTAATTTTACTGTCATTTGTTGTTTGCCTCTGTAAAAGGCAAACACGAAATCACCAACAACCTAACACTAATATCAAGGGCAGTGTTAGTTTTATTGATCAACAAAAACAACTTTTAGATTTAAGTGTAACAACTAATGATCGGGGAGACAGTATTGGTATTGATAATAATACACCATCAATTATTCAAGCAGAATCAGTAATTGGTTTTGAACCAGTTGAAATAACTGTCGAAAATCATACTGGTAACTTGAGTAATCATTATAACGGAAGCGCTCGAAATACACGCCTAAATGATAATATTAGAGATTTAAATTCAAACAAAAAATTACATGGGCATTTGTCGCCACTAGCTTTAGGTAAAGTTAACTCTGTTGATCCTGGAGGATATAATTTAAACTCAAATATGCTCAATGTTATCCCAAGTAATATGAATGTAAATATTCCAAATCGAAGTGGTGCTGTTATTGGAACACTTGTACATAATGTGAGTAGTAGATTTACATAACTTTAGCAGTTCACTTTCTTTTTTTTAGTTTTCATGCAAAATTATTTCTGTGAAGATGAACTAAAAAAAAACTTCTTTGCAAAATTAACTCTTTGTTTTAAGTACAAAAAACATTATTTACTAACTTAGTTATTTATTATTTCTTCTTCTTTAAAAAAACTTACAGCACAATATGGTAGAAGAATATCCACGAAATGTCGACGTTTTTCCTCCACCGCCAGAATTTTGTACAAATGCAGCACTAACAACAGCCAACCCTGGTTATGGTAATATATTTATATCAGTATCTGTTAAACAGGATGTCTTAGACAATACGGATCCAAATATGTATCCAGATTTAATAAATTTACCACAACGTGTTGACGATAATTTACCGGTTCAACAAAAAGCAACGAACGTTTCCACTTCCGTAACACTATCTAGAAATGCAAAAATTGATTCTTCAGAAAGAAACTCAAATTTATAGCAGAATAATGAAATTGTCCCAGTGGTAAATAATATGTTACCAACAGCTAGGTAATAAATAGAAGTCATAGAAATTATTAAATAAATAATATTATAAGACAACATATCAAAAAAAAATTTTTGAAAAGAACACACCCAGAATTTTCTTAAAAGCTGAAAACGAAAACTTGTACTGATCATGGAGATCTATTTTTAAAAAAACTTATAATGACAGGTAATTTTTAAGCTTATAATTTATTTCATTATACAAAAAAACTCTAACTTGCTCTCCATCAAATAAAAAAATCTGATGTCGCTGCAAAATATTGTCTAGTTTAGCGAAAATGTTCCACAAGATTATGAAAAAGGTTATTTTCACTTATTTAAAATTTTAAGGAGGTTAGTAAGCTTTTAGTTAACATACCTAGAGAAACGTTAATTTGATCATTAGTAGAGATTCACTTTATGCCATCCGAGTTAATTGAAAACTTCGTCAGCTAGCGCAGGTAACAAGCAGAACTCAAATATTAAATTTTAAAACATTGCACTAATCAGTTCCTATAAAAAATCTAAAATGTACACTTGACTTCAAATGAAAGTTCAGTTTCCGAGCGCTGATATTTCCAAGAAAAATACAAGCTAACTCTTTTAACACTCTGAGTTCAAATACTAAATTTTGAGGAAATCGGTTTATTATATTTTCTCTTTATATGCGCAAAGATTTAAATTCGGCCCCTAGTGAATGTCTACTTGTTGACATAAGACGAAGCTTATGTATAAAGTTAATTGGTTTAATGCTCTCTTAAATATGATCAAGAATGTAAACTCTATCCATAGAAAAGATCTAGTTCATGAGACCTGCCATATCTCAAAAGATGACTAAATCATTACATAACCAAAGTAAACTCTGATATAAATTTTCATGAATAAAAAAATAGTTTATTTACGCTTCCGTGTCATGGAGAAATACATTGTCGCCGAAAACTTGGGATGCAAAATTTAGTGCCATCATATAATTTATTATTGTATACAATGCGATAGAAATTAAGGCACAAGTAGATTAAAAACAGTGGATTTTGACTGAAAATTCTTTGTTCCTTATCCAAAATTAAAAAAATCCATACCTAGAGAAACGTTAATTAAATTAAACTTAAAATTAAAGAAATATTAGTAATTTACAGAACCAACATTAACTCTAAATTTTAATTTTCTTTTTTTCTAGCCAAGAATTCATTTATGATTTATGATTCAAAGAATCCATTTACCATGTACATAATGTTCAGTAATTATTGTTGTTGTTATATTGACGCTCAAAGTCAGAAAATGAAAGCTGTCATAATGGGCGCTGTTACCACGCAAGTCATAGTGATGTACATATACCTTAAGATATATAATATATCGGGAAAAATTCATCAAGAATAAAATCATCTGAAGTAAGGAGTTTATTATAATTAAATACTCGGAATGTTATTCACATTAAGTTTCACGAATATTGTGTATAAAGTTAGTAACATTTATTATAATTTTACAGTGTGTTTTATTCTAATTAGAAACATATACAAAGTTTTATTTGAAATCTTTCATACAGATGTCAAATTTTTAATAATTGTATTGATATTAAAATAAAAGCGATTAAAAATAAATTATTTACACCTTAGTTTACACTTTTGCTTCAATGATGTTTTCTTAAATTAAATAATTTATATATTTTTTTAATTTCATAGGTCTCTTAAGTACAGTTTCCCTGATTTAATGATTTGATTGATATTGATTGCTGATTTTAATTGACATGATGTAGTGTTGCATAAATTCTGAAAAATAGATTCGTAACGGTTCATTTTTACTAAACATTCAACGCCTTCATTTTTACCATTCTGACCTCATTAGATTTTTTAACCGTTATCAGGTTCACCATAATGTGCTGACCACATCAGATTTGAATTTTTTATTAACAGGTCAGGAAATTCATCATGATGAAAAATAATTTGTCAATATTTGTGATTATATAGATGATCAAATAGATGAAATATTAATGATAAATAGATTGTTAGCTTAAACATAAAAAAACAAACTAATAATAAAAAAAATTCTCCAAAAATTTGAAATTGGTTGAATCGGACAAGTAATTTTCGGACATGTATGCCACAAAATTATATCTTAATTGCGTACATATTCCATACAGTTTTTAAAGTTTCAATATAAAAAATCTGATGTGGTCAGCTCTTAACCGACCGCATTGTGTATTGTCTAGTTAAATGAAAGTGTTACAGAATATTATAAAAATGTCTGTTAAATACTTCTTTCCAATTTTTAGGACATTAGTAAGCTTATAGTTAACATACTTAGAAAAATGTAAATTTGGCTCTTAGTAGAGTTTCGCTTTGTGCTACCCGAATTCCCTGAAATGCTCGCCAGTTATTTTCGGTAACAACCAGAACTCAAATATCAAATTTCAAGAAATTCCATCAATTTGTTCTGTGGATATGGTGAAAAATGTAAAATCGGCCCGCAAATCAGTTTTCGAGCCTTGATCTTTCCAAAAAATTTATATGTTCATTGTTTTAATACGAGGAATTCATATATTAAATTTCAATGAAATCGGTTGATTATTTCTCTTTATATACTTAAAAATGTATATTTGGCCCGTAGTAAACGTTTAGTTGCCGATGTCTGATCTTTCCAAAAAATTTACATGTTCATTATTTTAGTACGAGGAATTTAAATATTAAATTTCAATGAAATCGGTTGATTATTTCTATATACACAAAAATGTATATTTGGCCCGTAGTAAACGTCCAGTTGCTGATGCCTGATTTCTTCCAAAAGTTAGCAATTTTCGCGGACGGTCGAGCAAAGCTCATATATAAAATTTCAAGTAAATCGGTTGAATATTTTCTTCAAAATGTTCAAAAATGTAAAATCGGCCCGCAAATCAGTTTTCGAGCCCTGATCTTTCCAAAAAATTTATATGTTCATTGTTTTAATACGAGGAATTTATATATTAAATTTCAATGAAATCGGTTGATTATTTCTCTTTATATACATAAAAATGTATATTTGGCCCGTAGTAAACGTCTAGTTGCCGATGCCTGATTTCTTCCAAAACATAGGGATTTTCGCGGACGGTCGAGCTGAGCTTATATATAAAATTTCAAGTAAATCGGTTGAATATTTTCTTCAAAATGTTGAAAAATGTAAAACAGGCCCGCTAAAAAGTGCAGTTTCCGAGGCCTGATATATACCAAAAGTTGATCAATCCGGAATGCCATGGCGGAAATAAACTTACATATAAAATTTCATTAAAATCGGTTCAGCCGAACTTGAGATACACGCGTGCACACACAGACCGACAGACCGACAGGTTGCTAACAATAGTTTATTTACACTTCCCTACTATGGAGAAGTACGTTCCCACCGAAAACTCGATATGCAAAATTTGTTGCCATCACATAACCTACCTATTGTTTACACAATACGGTCGGAGATACATAATCGGAGAATCAATCGAAATGTTCTTTTAGAATTATACTTGTAAATCATACAACATCGTTGAAGTCGCAGCATGAAGTCGCATCTTTTGATATTTTAGCCGGTTTTCGGTAGCAATTTCGGAGTTTTCTTTTCGAAAAAGAAGTGGTGTGGGTAAAAAATTTGACATTGAATACCAAATTAATGAACTGTGTTAGGTCAACTTTTTTAACAATATGCTGTAATGCATTTGAAAATGTATAAAATAAGCTAAGAGAGGAATTTTAAATTATAAACATGTATTTATTTAAAAATTACGGAAATCAATTGGGTATTTGCTGCAATGACAATAATGTGGAGTATTTGGATAAAGCTCACTCCCAAAAAATGTATTTAGACAAAAGTTGTACAACTTATAGCAGTTATTTTTTAGCGTTTTTGAATCATTAGCCAGATCATCATATTTGATATATCCTGACAAAGTAAAAGGTCTGGGAATTTCTGTGGATAAGACATAATTTTCTCATAGGATTTTCTTATTCCAAAAAATAACCCTACGCACTGAATTTTTAATTCTTCCGAAAATTTACTATAAGAAGAAGGCAAAATTACAGGTAAGCTAATGAAAAGTTCTAACAAGAGATCGAAAGAAAATTGAAAAATGCTTTCCACCTTTTGAGTCAAATTGGTTTTTAAAATGGTAAGCTTATTTCATTACTTTCTATTAATTATTTTTTTTGTAAAAACAGAATAAATCTGTGATAGCTAAAAAGTTTTAGTAAAAACGATTTTAAAAATTGTGCATAATATTTTAAATATCTTGCTTATTATATAGTTGTGATTTCGTTAAATCAAACGATCATTAGCGGTCAATTCATTTTTCCAAACCATTGAGGGCCAGCAACAGAATGTAAAAATTATGTCATAAATTCATTGTGTTATGAGAAATTTATTATTTATGTACTGACTTTTTGCTTCTTCACTTTAAAAATTTAATTTAAAGGTTGACCTAAATTCATGTTTTTTTTGCATTAAGGCTATGAAAAAGGTATGTGCAAGTGCAAGTGTAATTTAAACAAAAAATAAAACAAAATAAAAGTTTATTATAAATTTGATATTTTTCATCATAAATAATGGTTTCCACGAAAAATATGTATACACGATATTCATGTAGGATACATAAGAGTTAAAACTCATAAATCTTAAAAATTTTCTCGAATTTAAAGTTTTATGCGAGATAAATTTAAAAAATTGAACATTTAAATAATTGATGCTTTCATTCAATTGCAAACCGTATTCCATTTTTTAAGCAGTTTTTCATAAAAACGGAAAGAAACTTAATAGTAGTTTGTTTTATTAATTCAATCGTCCAAATTTTCTTTAGCGGATAACGTCTATCGTTGAGACCTCAAATTTGTATATAGAAGGTAGCGTTCTGATTTTGGAATAAACCATCTCAGATATAGTTGAAGGTAAGCTCCCAGAATTATAGGAAATAATGCCCTTTCTGTGCATGTAATCATTCTTATGATAATTAAGTGCTGTTATATATGAAAAGTTAAAAAATCATAAGTTTCTTTAGCCTGTTGTGGTTTATTTTGTTTAAATTATGTTTTAGTTTCTTATTAAAAGGTTAGATTTTAAAAATTCTCTTCAATTTACTTCAAATATGTTAAGCGTTTTATTGTTTTAAATTTATAAATATTTCTATTTTATGAAATATGTAGTTGTAAGGTTTCCATTCTATATGCTCTTTGTATTATAAATTTTTAAAAGAAATGTGCTTCCTTGACACTCATTGTATTTTTCAAAACTTGTTTTCTCTTTTAGTGTACTCGTAAATGTAAAGCCTTTATACTGAAATGAAATATAAAATAAAATTACTGTGTAATTTTATAATTCCAGTGAAAAGTCTTTATATATTAAGTACGAAAAAATAGCCCTGCTTTGACTGATGGTTAAAAAATATAACTTTCGTTCACTTAATTTTTATAATTTCATAAAATAATTTTTTGTTTAGTTTAATATATTCGATACAGTATTTTCGAAATTAAATTTAGATATTTTTCAATACTAATGAGCTACTAATTGGCAAATCATGCTTACACTTGAAAAATTTAAGCGGGTCCTATGCTGCTTGAGGAGAAATCGATCTTTGCTGGGAGGTTACTAATATATTTAATTATGCCAAGCTGTTCATTCCATCCTGCTTAAAGAAGTTTTCCTCAGAGCTGTTTGGGATGAATCGAAACTGGGTTCTTGCCATTACTGGCTTTTTCACTAGGTGTTGTCCGGTAAAATACTACTTCTATACTGCCATACTGTTGAAGAACATTCTATACTCTTGAAGAAACTGCCATACATATATTGTGTGACTGTGCTGCTCAAGCCTGTAGGAGGAGCAGATGGTTTGGTCGGGCCTTTTTCAGTGATGCGGAGCTCGCGTCCAACTCCCTGAGGTATAACTTCAGGTATTTACTTGGGGCCGGGTTAGTGTAAGTGGGATATGAGAGGGCTGATCACTATAAGTCAAGGTTAGCTTTGGTGATCGGAGGGCGGGTCAATTCTCGCTCATGTCTTTTTTCAATAAGCTAAAATCTACAATCTACAGTATGACTATGTTTAGTTCACAAGATTAAAAGGGGTGTATCCTGTTAAAGAGAAGCTTGTTGTAAATGTAAAACATTTTTTGCATATGGTAGTTTATATAAAAATTGTGTGTCAGTCGTCCAAATTTATACGAAATAGATCCGTCAGCAATATGCATTTTGGCAACCAAATTTTTTAAATTACTGTATGTACATTATCAGAATATTTTATGCACATATTAAAGAACATCACGCGAAAAAAAGTTGAAAAATTTAAAAATTAAATTATTAAAATAAATTTAAATGAATAATATAAATTTTAAAGAATATTCACGTAGCGTAATGAAATCAAAAATTTAATAAATTTTATAGATTTAAGTGCTTAACGATATCGGGTTTTAATGTGAAGAGAATATTGACTAATAATATTTAAAAGTTTTTTTGCTAATCATTTAAGTTTTTTATCAATTAACTAAAATTTTTCAAATCTCTTTTTATCAATTGAATTGATTTTTGGAA